AATTAGTGCAGAAATTTATAATTGTGAGGGTCTATGGTATGGTTCCTGGCATGTAATGGTAGTTTCAGAAGAGGAAATTTACTCTATAACCTGGCTACAACTTGTGTTATTGGATTGAATGTCAAAGGCTACTAGGAAAGCGTCCCCATTATATTATCCCTTTTTTTTTAACTAAACATCAGTTCTGTTCTAGGATTTTCATTATCTGAAATATTATTGGACTTGCTTTCACTGGCATTTTCAGATTGTATATTATTCTGAAGTCTCTGATTATAAATATACATATTGCTGCAGATGCGAACTTATGCAAGAACTGGTGAGAACCCTCCGGATGATTTTATGAGCCCTGGAGGATGGGAAGTCCTCGTCAATATTACGAGAGTTTGCAAGCAGAGGAGGCAACAAAGCAAGCGGCTGCTGTATCTTCTTAGTTCAACACAGTTACATTTTGCAGCAAGTTTATTATAGCAAATTAGAGAAGAGTCCTATGGTTTAAGGTCGAGAACAGATGAAGCCTGATTTCAGCAGTTCCGTTAGTGAATTCAACCTCTCCAATTATACCTTTTTATGCCGTTGTGAAACTCTCGGTTATCAGTTTTCAGTTATCGGATTATTTATTGTATTCGGATAACATATATATTGAGTTGTTAACGATTGATTTTTTTCAGTGGAATCTGAACGTGTTTGAAGTGGCTTGTCACTTTCAGGGTTAATCTAAAAGCTTATCTTCCCCTCGAATCCTCAATCTGTATCTTCTGCATGTTATAAATTCTTCTTTTTATCTTGTCAGTAACCTTAGGGCTTCAGCTCAAATCATCCGCATCGATAAGATTTGATGACAGGGACAAGCCTACTCATCTCAGGCTCACCCATCTCAACATTAGCGACGGCCAACGACAAAGGATGGCGAGCCTTAATCCGAGGAACACCTGCATGATAAAACTATGACAGTATGTCGGAAGCCAACAAGTTGCCATGTGATTACAAGTTTGAAAACTGTCTTCCGATGGTGCAAACAATCTAACAAAAAATTCCTGGAAACTTCAAGGCTCGTGGTTAGGACGTCCCCATAACAAACCATCCAAACCAGCTGGTTTGGATCACTTGGGATACAAATCTTGTACCCTGAAATAGGCCGAAAAGCACCAAAAGATGTTTAATAAGATAGAGTCGTGTAGCAGGCCATCAACCGAAACATACCATTTATTGTTTCCTTTCATCTTACACGCCACATGTGCTGCTTCTGTGTTACTCAAAGGTACCATCCGTAATGTCCTCGCCGTTCCTCGTTCAAAGGCCGCGGCTTAGCTGTTACAATGGGGGCCAGGCCAACCCTTTTCTGATTTATTCTCCATTTCAAGATTAGATTTTCGGAAAGTCAGTGCTTTCATTTCCCTCGGTTAAATGTGTGGTTTTGATTACGTAAATGTCGGCTATAACGCCGTGGTTATTTATTGAGAAAAAGTGTAAACGGAAAGGTAACATGGCGTCCATGTGCTAACGTGAGGTCATTTTCTTTCACGCTACAAATTTATCCATCTTTGGCTCTCAATTCAAAGCCTCTACGGAAGTAGTCACTGCCTTTCGGCTTTGGATGAATATCCAGCGGATCCACCTTTGTATTTATATGTAATTCTTAAAAAAATAATTCACCCATTAAGATTTTATAAAGATATATAATGTTTTCTGTTTTTAAAATCTGACATTTGCAACGGTCAGTCAAATTTCAATAAAACCAAATTTTATTCTAACATTTGTTGCAAAATAGAATATTAATTGTATCAGTTGAATTAAGATTGAATGGGTATACATTTATATAGTTGTAGCTGAAATGACGAGTGTGGTGAGCTTTGAGTTCGTACCTGAAAGATGCATGGTAAAAGGGAGGGGAACAGTTGCAAAAAGGATATTAGATCTAGACACCCTAAGAAAGCATAAAAAGGTAAACAAGGATTTTGGGTAGAAACTAGGACAGGCTCTGCCTCTTCTCTTTTTTGGACCTTAGAACATCAAAATCTCTCTCTCTATCTCTCTCTCTTTTCCTTAAAAAAATAAAAACACAAGTGGTTCTCATTTATGTATCGATAAAGACCAAGGCATGCTAATATTCGGAAGTTCGATTTATTAGCTTAATCTTTTAAGGACCACCGTACCCAAATGTTGATATACCTTCACATCTTCGACAACTACTCATTTCTTTTCTCAAATAAATCATGTTTAAGATTATATTAAATTTAATGTACATAAAATTAATGAAATATGTTCTTGATTAATCTTATATTTCAATCAAATAAACAAATAATATAGCATAATATTTTTAATAATATATTAAGTAATTTTACTCTAATAAATAATCTTAATTTAATATAATCAGTGATAGACAAATGAAATTTCAGAATACATACATGTACTTTTCCTCAAAAATAATTTTGATTAAATATGTATTCTTCTTCAAAAATATTTTTGAATCATCACTAATTTTGATTTAATAGATAACATAAAAGGGGAACGTGGGTCGAATTGCCACTTTCTAATGCCTACCAAGACAAGAAACACAATAACTTCACTTTATAGGGTAGTTGATTGTTGCATGTGGCTACCAGAAACATGTGGAAAAAATGTGTCAAGAATATTAATCACTTACACATATTTTAGCGAATCAAATCATAACATTTCACTAAATTTTATATATATTTTTAATATCAATGAATATCATGATCATTTAAAATATTATTTATTATAAAATTATCTACATTATTTACTTATTATGAAATTAAAACTCAAATACTTGACAAAAAAAAACCTAACACCTTAACCTTTACCAACTATAACAGAACATCGTCGACACCAGCTCATGGAATTTTAGATGTGAACCTAATTCTGACGCCAAATTTCTTTCCTTTTTCTCTAATGATTAATGGGGTTGGAATATTATATCTGGAAATATGGTTATCATTTATGGAAATGCATGTTGAATCTTTAGGTTTTGTCGATAAATCATGGAATTTAATGTTAAGTATCCGAATTGAGAAACGTATTCAAATAATAATTGAAAAGGGTTAAAGAGAATTTATGGAGGTACCAAAATGAAAATTAAAAAGAAAGAGGGTGATAATTGTAAATCAAATTAAAAGGAACAACGTGTGCAATTGGACATTGTAGTTGAAGTGAGCATGGGATCGTGTTTCGACGTCTCCCTTATGGTAAAAAAATCATAACAATCTTTATATTATATCTCATATTACATTTTAGTCTCTCTATTGAAAAATAAACAAATTGGTCCATGTATATTTTGACCAAAAAAATCGATTCCTCCATTAAAAATTACATTCACTTTGTCATTAATTATTTCATGTTGTAACTTTTGTAATATAAACATTTATATTTAATTTTGGTCAGTTTAACTCTTAATCGTTCGTTAAAAATTTCATCAACATATGTAATGGAAATGTTTTTTTTAATAAAAATACCAAATTATAATCCGCGATATAGTACAAGGATTGCTATGGTATTTTTACCTCGATCTGCCTAATTTTCAATCTAGAAATCATATTTTAATCTCAAATTTATTGAATATATCTTTAAAATTAATTATATAAAATCAATTTATCTTGAATTTACGGATCGAGTTTATTTTAATTGTCATCGTTACTGGTATATTACATGAAATCAAACATATTTAATTTTTCATCAATATATGCATTATATCAAAATTTATCTGCAATTTAAAAATTAAAAACCTGGGTTTCAAAATTAAAATGATGGAAATGATTTGAATAAAGTAGGGCTTTCAAAGAGAGGCATGAAAGGTGTCACGTACATGCATGTGAATCACTAATATTTTATCTGCCATTCGATTATGAGAATCACAAGCTCAAATTTTACAGATTACTATACATATCCGTCACGCTTATTATTGTGGAATGATATTTCATACATCAACACTATATATTTTATAGTATATATCATTTGATATATATATATATATATATATATATATATATATATATATATCATCAAATTTTTAAAAATAATTTTGTTGTTGATAATATTATCATTTAATTGAAATTTATTTTGGAGTTTCTCTTTATGTGGTGCTTAATTATTCATTTATTTCATAACATTCTCTCTTTAAAATTAAAAAAAAAAATTAAGGTATTGCTTAATAATTCATATATATGTATGACTCTAGCATATTTTTTTTCTTCCAATTATACTTTTGAAAATTGCTCGCCTCTGTATATTAAGATTTCTAGGCATATTTTTTCATGTATCGAAGTTTTCAATGAACTTATAACTTTTAGGTACAAGAGTACCTTGACTTCTGAATTAGCTACTTGATGTAAACAAGATTTTTGATAAACCTATGTGACCTACTAGAGTGAAATTTAAAATATGATAAATAGATCTATTTAACATAATTGACCTACAAATAGCTACTTTATGTCTGACACCACTGGCTTGAAGCATTATAAAAACATAATAACTATAATCGAAAAAAGGATCATGACCTCCATAATCTTCTCCTCCTTTTTCACAAAGAAATATCGACTACCAATCATTTTTTTACTGTAATTTTTTGTTCAAATCAAAATGAATAAACCATTAATAACTTATGAGACAAATTTGTTTTCATCAAGCTATCTGATTCCAGGGAAGAGTTTAAAAGTTATATGAAGGAATAAGAAACATGGGCAATTGAAGAAGTTTAAAGATATTTTCAATCCCCGACAATGGTTTTTATTTCAATTAAATATAGGATAAAATTGAATTACTATTTAAAGGTGAAGTTCTTGAAATGTAGCTGTTGGAGTTGATGAATTAGTTTGGTTGAAAGGCTCGAAAAGGTTGATAGAACAAGGCAACAAAGAGAGGGACCGTGATGTCCTTTGGAAGGGATGTCCTTTGAGCTTCATTATCAGACCCCTGTAAAAATAAAAATAAAAATACCCCCAAACCTCTCAACTTTGTTCCCACAACCCCACATGATTTTGTTTCTCTCCTCCTCTTTGAAAAATCCATTTAGCTTTATTAGCTCTCTGACTCTCACCATATATACCCCCCTTCTTCCAAAACCCATCATCTCTCATTTTCCACACCTACAAACAACAACAATGGCGATCACCGGGAAATCGAGCAAACTGACCCAAACAGCCCTGATTAAGCAAATCCTGAAACGATGTTCCAGCTTAGGAAAGAAACAACAACAAGGCTACGGTGATGATGATGAACAGAAACGACTCCCTGTGGACGTGCCCAAAGGTCATTTTGTCGTATACGTCGGTCAGAACAGGAGCAGATACATTGTCCCCATATCGTTCTTGACCCGACCCGAGTTCCAGAGCTTGCTCCACCAAGCAGAGGAAGAGTTCGGGTTCGGTCACGACATGGGACTCACCATCCCTTGTGAAGAAGTTGTTTTCCGGTCTTTAACATCCATGCTCAAATGAAATTGAAGCCTGCTTTTCATGAGAAACGTTGAATTGAGATGAAGCTGCTTCTTTTGCTTCTCTGATTCTATTTTTTCCTCTCTTTTTCTGAGTTGTTTAAACTGTTCTAACACAAGAAAAACCCCACGGAGTTGGTTTTTATGTGGGTTTTTGATTTGTAAATCTGAGAAGAAAAAAAACGATTTATTATCATTCTGTCGTCTCCATCTTCCTCTAAGAAACACGAGCACAAGGCACACGTTCACCAGTTCAGGGTTTATTATTATTATTAGGAGGTCAAATTATGGTTACGGTCCCTCCATTATGCTCAACTTTTTAATGATATCTATGTTTATGCTGTTAATATGTTATTAGTTAATCCAAATTGTTAAAATCAATTTAATAAGAAAAATAGAGAAGTTAAATTATGCCAAGATTGAAATGTAGAGACTAAAATATTAAATTCGATTTTAGTAAAAGGACTAAATCATAATTTGACCATAGTTATAATGTTTTCAGTGCTCCCCACACTGTACAGAGTCCCCCTTGCATTCAGCTCTCTGCGATCGTAAGGCACATGCATATACAAATTGAACGGTTCAGATTGCAGATGCAATTTACAATTTACTACTAGTATATATCAAAATCAATCCGTAAAAATATAAAATTACATGATTAATTGAATAATTGTTTTGATTCAAACGAATTACATATAATTCATATAAGGAAAAACTTGATCTAAACCTTTGCTTCGTCGTTATCAAATTTAAATTAAAGATTCTGTATCAATAAAAGTTTAAGTAACATCAGTCGTTTACCATTACATTAATGCCTGATTAATAATATTAGTGTCCATCTTAATTCTTTATTAAGTCTAATTCTAAAAAATGTGCAACTGTCAGCCATTTACTTTAAAGACATAATGAAAATGACTAATCGAGAAAATAACAAAAATTACTTTTAAAATTCAAATTGCTTAGCAGCAAAGATCAATAAAGTAGTGTGATAGAAAATAATAAGCATATCAACATAAAAATTAAAAACTCCATGTGCTTATATCAAATCAAGGGGTTATAATGTCACATATATATATATATATATAATTTAGAACTCATCAAAAAAATATTATTATTCTTAAATATTTTTGGTTCAAGTAGCTATGTCTATATGTATGTATATTGTCAATTAAATAAACAAATTTATAAATAAATATTACCTTATAATCATCTTAAATTATTATATATATATATATATATATATATATATATATATATATATATATGCATATACTTCATGCATATTTGAAGGAGTTACATTACCCGTAAATCTTGATTAACAAGCCTATTATGTTTAATTAATCCAGAGTTAATCTCTAGTTTAATAATCATGGAAAGTGCACCCTTAAATCTTAATCTCATATACATATATAAAAACTACTAAGTCACCTCAAAGTAAAAGTAAATATTATTCTTCTTAGAAAATCGAATTTAAGCAATTACAGTTGTAAAGTATGTATGTATCATCAATATACTAAAATTGTAACATCCTTAATACCGGGTTAGTGACTAAATTGTAAAATTTCAGAATTTGGTGATTAAAGTGAAAAAGTTGAAAGGTTCAATGAATTATTTGAAAATATTTCATGAAATTTTTTAGTAATTATCAAAGAAAATAAAGGGCAAAATGGTCATTGAACAAAGGAAATAATAAAATAATAATTAATGAGTATTATAATACCCATGTGGAGCATACATTTTGGGAAATTAAGTTTCCATATTACTCTTCTCTCTTCCATCTTCATCTTCTTCTCTTCTCCACATGAAAGCTCAAGCAAAGGTAAGATTTAGTTGTTGTTGATTATTAGCTGAAATTTAAGTTGGGTTTTGATCATTAGATGATAACTAAGCTTAAGGAAAGCTTAAGCTATCTTAACATCAAAAGATAAAGGAGTTAGGAGAGATTAAAGATTTTGAGTTCTTGAGTGAAATCTTGAAATAGAGTTTATAAGTTGAATTTGACTTGTCATCAGCTTAATTAAGAAGTATTAAGTGTTAGAATTGGATTTGAAACATGTTGAATATTTGGTATGATTTTTGAAATTCATAAAGAGGAGAAGATTTTGAGGTTTAAGATGTGATAAATGAGTAGAAATTAGTTTAAGTATGTATATTTGAGTTAAGAATAGAAAAATGAATGAAACATAAAGAATTTAAGTTGATATAGTGAATTTTCGGGCATGAACAGTGATTTTCTGGGCTTGAACGAAAAATTCCAGATTGTGCAGGGGGTACAGATTCCCCCTGGGGGGTATCGATTCCCCCTAAAGAAAAAAAATAGATTTTTGGTTCATTAAACCGACTTAAGTTATTAACATCAAGTTTAAGGTTTAGGCTTCTGATAATTATTTTGAAATGTTATATTTATGTAGATATTGAGCCTAACAAGTTCCGGAATAATCAAAGGATTAGGATTGAATCAAATCAAGGCTAATGTGAGTGCAATTTAATTTGTGCTTATAGAATGAACATTGGCTTGCGATGAGCCAGTGACGGAGTTATTATGGTAAGAAGTAACTCTTAAAATGTTATTGTATGTGACATGAGTTACATGATTATATGTATATGTGATATGTATAACATGTTGTTCTATGTGTTGTGTGATATATATATGTGCTTACATAAGAACATGAGAAATAAAATAAGTTATGTAATAAGGATATAGAAAACGAAATGAATGACATGAAATGTGTGTATGCTTGATTATATGAGTGGATATGTTATTGTAAGTACTAAATGGCTTATGTAAATAAATGAAAAGGTGAGATAAAATAAGTAGTATTTACTTATAAGGTAATAGGAAATTATGTGAACAGATAGTATTGATAGGGCACATAAGACTACATGTCTATCTTTTAATGTAATAAAAGTGATATATGTGATGTATTGGAAACATATGAGAACAAGAGATGACATAATTTGTATGATGTATAAATTCATGAGTAAAGGCATATGTGAATATAATTTGTATGCATTATATGTCATGTGAATATAAGAGGATAGAGTATGTTATATGATATGAGATGAAGTGATGAAACATAAATGATATATATATGATGATATAAGAATAAAACATGAATAAAATGATATATATGTTTATGTGAATCCATGCAAAGTGATACGAGCTATGTGATATATGAATATGAATTCATATGAAAAGTGACATGAAAGTACACTACGTGATTATATGCACGTGTGACATGTGATCATAAGAGCAATGATATGAGTACATGAATATATGAAGCAAAAGAAAAAAGCTCATGTTATATAATATGAGAGCTATAGGTATAACTGGCATGCCAAGAGTCGAGGGTCTACGCAGTCCTTCGGGACAATTCTACGTGGTCCTTCGGGACATATATGTAATTCTGTGGAACATGTATGTGGTACTTCGATACACTTATTTGGTCCATCGTATTAGGTATATGGTTCTTAAGGAGTGGTCTTTCGGGACATATGTGATATGTAGTCCTTCGGGACATAGTGGTCCTTCGGGACATTTCTACATGGTCCTTCGGGACAAATATTCAGTGCCCCTAATGGGAATTTATACGAGCTGTGGTGACAGCATTAGTGCACAACCTCAATGTACTCACATACCTTCAGTTCTCAACATTGTACATGGGCTAATAAAGAAAACAAATAAATATGTTGAATGTGATTTGTTATATGGAATAAATTATAGGATTCATGTATTGGTTATATGAAAGGATATATGTTTTTAGTTATATGAACTGTATTACATGAATTATATGATGTTAAGTGTATTTTTTTATGAAATGATATAGGATGGGTATTAATGATAATAATAGGATAATGATAAGGAAGAATATAATCATATATGTACATGTGTGGATTTGATATATGAATAGAAATATGATGGTATATGTGCATATATGCATTTTGATATATGAAATGTTTTATGATTTTTATTACATGTTTTTATGCCTCACTAAGTCATTGACTTAGCGTATTATTGTTTCACGCGTAGGTTATGAGAAGAGGAAGGATGATAAAAGTTAAGCAAGACAGGTCAGTTTATCCTTTCCAAAGATCATATCAGAAAAGAAAAGTATAATATGTATTTTGTAATAAGGATAGTGGTTGGCATGTAAATAAAGGATTAAATCCGATATGTTTTAATTGGTTTTGAAAAGTCATACGATTGAGTTTTTAAATGCATATATGTAATTGATAAATTTTATACGGATGAAAGCTTAGGTTTTTATGAAGTTATACGTATTTTATGAAAGTAATGTAACAGTACTGTAGCAGGGTATCAGTTCCTTGTAGCAGGGTATCAGTTTCCCTCTGACATTCTGGAAAATTTTAACATTCAGGTACTGTTCATTATTGTTCACGGGTACTATTCATATGGTATTGTTCACTGTTCATACCATATTTTACTGTTCATAAAATGTATATTTTCTTAAATTGGTTATAACAAACATGATTCAACAATATATTATCGTATTTTCTTAAAAATAGTTCAAATGTTCTGTTATTTTGTAAGAATATCGTTTTTAAAAGTTAATGTGACATCTCAGACTCGTATTCGGATTGAATACGGGTTGGAGTGTTACATTTAATGGTATCAGAGCTATGATTTAGCCGATTCTAGGTTAAAAACGAAGTCAAAAGTGTTTTAAAAAGTATACATGCCAACACAAAATGAAATTTTCTGATTTGATAGTGTAAGGAGTATATTGTCTTGATAATAGAGTTAAAGTGTTATGTTATATTAGATGTATGGTTATGAGAGCTTCCAAAGTGAAACACAAGGTGATAAACCTGTAGGTAATATCATCACTTGCCCTGGCCAGGCAAGGAGAAGAGCGAAAACCTCAGGGAGTGCCCGTACAAGATTAGAGAATGTTTCATGATGTTGAATGATATTATGATGTGTTTTCAATTTTATACTGTTATAATTCATAGAATGAATGTATCGAATAGAGTTAAGAGCACCCGAGTTCAAGGGTGAACCTTTGGATAAATGATATGAAGATAATGCTAGAAGGTGTTCATTTCTCCAAATGGGAGAAATTAAATTGAGAAGTTTCGTTAGTACGTGGATAAGATAGAATATGGTGGACAAATATCATTATAAGAATGTTAAAAGATCAAGTGATGTGGTTATCGTTTGTGGAAGAGTTCAAAAATAAGTATATGGATGATCAGTTCATAAAACAAATGAAGCTCGAATATATGAGCTTAAAGTAAGGGAATTACATATGCATGTGTATGAAAGCAAGTTTAATAAGTTAAGCAGATTTGTTGCTAAGTTAATTCCGATTA